AAAATGACATTTAGGAACCAAAATCCAGGTGCTAGATATGATCATGGCTCCTGGGATATCACTGCTTTAAGGCCTAGCCCACATTACCTATCACCCATCGATACATCTATTTACCCATCTGTCTGCCTCTGTATTAATGCTTCTAGTTCCAATCCCACACCACAGAACTCCTTCTAGTCCTCTCTCTGTTTTTATGACTCCTTTTTCTCACCTCCTAGTATCTATAATATATGCATTTATTTCCTCAACCCTAGAATATACAGAAAATAGTTTTAGAATTGCGGGCCCATACCATTCTGAAAAACAAATCTACTCACTAGAATTCAGTATTTGTTTACAGTTCTCTTTGTCTTTAGCCTAAGGGTATATACTCAAAAGTCAGTGTTCAAAATTTACTTGGATTATGTTATTAATTTGAAATATAGTTGGGTTCAGTTCCTTCCATTTGTATTCCATTTTTGAGGGGCTTTTTTCTATATCTTTCTCAGATTTTTTTGAGTGTGTGCAGTATACTTCCAATAGTCAGAATTGTAAAAATGGCATATATCAGTAAGTGTCAATTCTAAACCTTTTGTCAGTTTCCTCCACACCCATTTTTTCTAATCTATTCCATCACATCCACTATTGGTAGCCAGTTTCTAGATTATTCTTAAAGATATATGTATATGATATTTCTCATCTATCCGTTCATAGAGCCCTTCATTCCTTTTTTACATCTGCATGGTCTTCCATGTAGAGATTTGCCATACTCAGTTCAGTAGTTCCCCTCTGTATGGGTGTTTGAAATATTTTCAGTATTTTTCAGTTACAGTTATGCAATGAATAACCTTGTGCATATATATTCTTATTTGTTGGAAGTGTATAGGGTAAATTTCTAGGGTGGGATTGCTAATGCTAAGCGAAATAAGTCATTCAGAGAAAAATACCATATGATTTCACTCATATGTGGAATTTAAGAAACAAAGGAAACAAGCAAAGGGAAAAAAGAGAGAGACAAACCAAGAAACAGACTCTTAACTATTGAGAACAAACTGATGGTTACCAGAGGGGAGGTGGGTGGGGGGATGCAGGAAATCCGTGAAGGGGATAAAGGAGTGCACTTTATCATGATAAAAAAAATTTTTTTTAAATATACTTTTTGTTAGATACTGCCAAACTCCTCCCCCCACCCCGAGAATTTGTACCAATTTGGTTTCTCACGATCAGTGTATGAGAGAGCCTGCTTCAACCCAGTCTCACTGACAGAATGTTATTTTTTTGCTGGCACCGTAGGTAAGAAATGGTTTCTCAGTGTAGTTTTGCATTTCTGTTATGAGTGAGAAAGAATATCTTTCAAATATCTTTTCGTGTGTGTGAATTGTCCATTTATGTCTTCTGCCCATTCTTTTTATCAAGATTTTGAGATTTCTTTATAGGTTTGGACTCTAAGCTCTTTATCTGTGACATACACTGCAAATGCTTTCTCCCACTTTGTTGTTTGTCTCTTTTTGTGTGTGTGTGGTGCTTTGTGTCATGTGTTTCTTTAAAATATAGGCAAAGTTATTGATATTTTTCTTTTATTGCCTATCGATAGTTAAAGCCTTCCTAATATTCGGGTTTAATTTACTCTGTTTTCTCTTCTAACACTTGTGTCATTTCATATGCTTGCATTCTGGTCTCTGGTTCATTTGGAGTTTATTCCTTTGATTGGTATGAGATATGCATGTAATTTTTCAAATAGCTATTCAATGATACTAGCATCTTTTATTTAAAAGTCCTAGGGCCTTTATGTGAAAGTCATTGTCATTTGAGATGCTACTTTTATCATATGCAAAATTTTTTATGTGCCTGGGTCTCTTTCTTGGCTTTCTATACTATTCGTAGTTTAGTTGTCTGTTTATGTGCTGGTGCAGCACTGTTCTAATTATACGGCATTTGTAGTATGTGTTAATATCAGATAGAGCTAATGCCCTCCTCAGTGCTTTTCTTTTCCAGTTTTTTTTCATAGCCATTCTTGGATGTTTTTTTTTCCACATGAACTATAATGTCAAGTTTTCTAACTCCACAAAAACATGGTGGTATTTCACTGAGATTATATTAAATTTATAAATTAACATGCAGAAAGTTGGCATCTTTTTGATGTTGAATCATTCTATCCCAGAACAAGGGATGTCTTTTCATTTGTTCAAGTCTCTTCTCGTGTCTTTTGATAGCGTTTTTTTCCTTCATAAAATTTTCGCACATCTATTGGTAAGTTTATTGTTTATCCGTGTTTTACTTTTTTGCTGCCATCATAAATAACGTTTTGTCTGATTTTAACCTCTGAATGGTTATTGCTTATGTGTATGAAGGCTATTGATTTCTGTATGCTAATTCACATCCTATTATGAGATAGTTTTATCATTGATTCCCCAAGGATACGATCATATTATCTGGAAATGGAACTGGTTTTCCTTATGTGATTTTTCTTGTCTAAATGAGTTGGCTGGTACTTCCAAGGCAACGTTAAACAGTACTGAAGATATTCTACACACACAGACATATAACATATGTGTAATGTATATATTATATATTTTTAAGCATATTAAAGTATTCATTGGGGCGCCTGGGTGGCTCAGTGGGTTAAAGCCTCTGCCTTCGGCTCAGGTCATGATCCCAGGGTCCTGGGATCGAGCCCCGCATCAGGCTCTCTGCTCAGCAGGGAGCCTGCTTCCCCCTCTCTCTCTGCCTGCCTCTCTGCCTACCTGTGATCTCTGTCAAATAAATAAATAAAATCTTAAAAAAAAAAAAAAAGAAAGTATTCATCCTTTTCTTATCCAGAATGGGTGCTGAATTGTGTCAAAAGCTTTTCAAAAGCATCTGTTACAACAATCATAAGATTTTTCCCTCTAGATTGATCAATATCATGTTTTATATTAATGGATATCCTCGTATTGAGCAGACTTGCACACTGGAATGCATCTCAGATTGTCATGGTGTATTATTTCCTGAAAGTGTGCCACTACTCTTTTTTTTTTTTTTTAAGATTTTATTTATTTATTTGACAGAGAGAGATCACAAGCAGGCAGAGAGGCAGGCAGAGAGAGAGGAGGAAGCAGGCTCCCTGCTGAGCAGAGAGCCCGATGCGGGGCTCGACCCCAGGACCCTGAGATCATGACCCGAGCCGAAGGCAGCGGCTTAACCCACTGAGCCACCCAGGCGCCCCAACTACTCTTAAAACTATAAATACCAAAGCTCTACAACAGTGTCATTCAAAGAATGATATCCCCTCGGGCATTTAGTGAATTAAAGATTTCTGCTGAAACAGAACCTCTGGGGAGGGTTTCCAGATTTTATTTCTAACAGGTCCTCAGAGAGGCAGTCCTTACTCACACTGAGAACCACTGGGCTACCATATTGTTCTATGTGAATTTTTTATGGAAGTTACTGCAAAAAATTACTTACTTTAGCCAAGAATTCACTCCATGATTCCTTTAAAAATCTGCTTTATATCTCAAAATTTTAAATCATGAGACAGCTGCAGAAAAATTGATGTTACAGAAAAACCAATAATAGCTACCTATTCATCAATTCACTCATTTACTCAACTTCTAGCATTATGCGAGGATGGGGATACAAAATGTGTAAGACCTCGATAACAGTAGGAGAAATGGAGGAGTAAATGAATATTTGTAAAATAATATATTAAATGTTATGTTAGAAGTATTTTCCAGGAATTTCATGGGTATGATGGGCTTAAAAGAGGAAATACCTCTTTCTCCTGGATCAGAGAAGTTTTAAAGAGAAGTTGATGCTTTCGATGAAACATCTTTCCAATATAACATTAACAAATGGGGAAGAAACTGATGTACAAAAATCTTATTTACATGAAACTTCTTAGAAATGCATCTCTTACACATGATGTACTAGTACACCAACATATTGACTCTTGGCAAACAGCTACAATATTATTTACATGTATAAGGGAAAGTTTACCTGTAAAGGGAGGAATCTCTATATATAACCTATGAATGAATTTCTTTCCAAGATACCCAGATTTAATAGAAACACTGAGTAACATCAACAGAATAATAGAAAGCATCAGTAATACATGGAAACTTCAGTAAACAGAACATGAACTGCCATTGTTTCTATTAGTATGCTTCAGATTCTCTTAAAGAAAAAAAAAATTACATTCTGTTTCTATTAGAACTTGGGATGGTTTGGTTCCACTCCATTTATTCTTAGTATAAGACTTTCCTTATCCAGGACAACTGCTATGTGAGAGAGAGACCATAAAATTGTGTGACTAACATTCATGCCAGGATAATGGTCAGGGGTTGGCTTGGTGTGGAATTCATTTCTTCTTATCACACGAATGGCCCTCATGTGATGATGGGGCAGCGTTTTAAAGTACAAACCTGCTACCGCTTGCTCTGAGGCAGATTCTTCAAAGTCAAATGTAGTTAGGATTCTTTCATTTCCTGATGTTACTGATGTAGAAGGAGTGTTATTTAATTGCCAACATTTTTATTTACCCAAAGTCTATAAAATTTAACTGCTGCTATGCACTGAATAGGCTACACTATTTCGACATCAAGTCGTGTGGGCATTATTTTTACATCTGATTTCAACTGCAGCAGGTGTCAACCAAGATCAGTGCAAATGTCACACTGAGTTCTTGGGTCACCCACTCTGGCTCTGCTTTAATTATCACTCTTCAGTAGTTACTCGCCAAATCATTTAAATAAATTGTTCATATTGGATATATTTTTTGATTGCCTTGGAAAAGGTAATTTATAGAAAGCACTATAGTACTTTTTTTTAATGTCCATCCATATTAATAGTAAAAGATTCTTCTGATAGCAAAAACAGATCCTGGGTGAGTTCTGAAATTACACACACACACACTACACCACACCACACCATCTATTCTTAACCACCTGTTTAAGTAGTATATTTGTTTTAAGAAACAGTAAAATTTAATGTCCCTTGAATGAACTTGGTCATTGAATGTTAGTACTTTCTTTTTTATTTTATAGTTGGCAATCAGTGGATAAATTACATATCATTCTGTGGCCTTAGAACACATGCAGAGCTTGAAGGCAACCTCGTCACTGAGCTCATCTATGTCCATAGCAAGTTGCTAATTGCTGATGACAACACCGTTATTATTGGTAAGTACACGGTCTATAATTGTGTGGCTTGCTAGTTGACTTACTTCATGCAAAAATCCTTTCTCTTTCTCCCAAAATTACTTTACAGTTCAGAGGGACTGTAACATGACATCTAAAATATTTCTGAAGCAGTATTTTCCACTTGAGTCCTTTCTCATCCCTGTTTTTATCTATGAAGAAACAGAGGCACGGAGCAATTAAATGGCCATTGTGCAAATTACAGTAGCCAAAGAGCAGTGGGTTAGCCCTGCAGACAGTAATCAGCCTGTTCTCATTAATTCATTATTACCCCCTTTTATAAATTGGAGTACCTCGATTTTGGGAGCTCAAGGGGGAAACATGGGGAGAGAAAAATGAGCAGTCCAAGTGTCTATTGGCTGATAAATGGATAAAGAAGATGTGGTATATAAATACACAATGGAATATTACTCAGCTGTGAAAAAGAATGAAGTCTTGCCACTTGCAAAGACTTGGATGGAGATAGTATGACGGTAAGTGAAATAAGTAAGTCAGAGAAAGACAAATACCATCTGATTTCATTCATACGTGGAATTTAAGAAACAAAACAAGCAAAGGGAAAAAGAGGGAAACCAAGAAACAGACTCCTAACCATTGAGAACAAACTGATGGTTACCAGAGGGAAGGGTTTGGGGGGATGGGGGAAATAGGTGATGAGGATTAAGGAGTGTACTTGTGATGAGCATGGGGTATTATATGAAGTGCTGAATCACTACATTGTATACCTGAAACTAATATTACATTGTATATTAAGTAAGTAGAATTTAAATAGAAACTTAAAAAAATTAAATTCCTAGAAAAAGTAAAGTGCAGTTTCTCAACTATAATTAGATACTTCCTTATCTTCCCTATTCTATGAGAAACTAAAAGTTGTAGAGTGTTTTGAAATTTTTTGGCAGTAAATATGCCATTTCCATTTCTATCCTCCACTGAGGGGAAAAAAAAAAAGCTCATATCTAGGAGTAATGAGATTGTCTTATCTGGAACATGCTTTGAAAAGAAAGAGAAAGCAATTCCAAAGCCAGAAAATAAATAGACCACGGTGTGGTGATACATATATATGCATGGACACACACAGACACACACACACACACACACACACACACACACTCTCTCTCTTTTAATACATAGGGCATTTAGAAAAATATGTGTCTTCTATCTCTTGCTCTATAGGGATCAAAGTTCTTTAGGGATTTATTTACTCTCCTAGTCCCCCAGTAAACACAGTTTCTCTTATTTCCCCCAAGCTACTCTGGCCTTGTTCTTCAGAAGTCAATCTCAGAAACTTTTCATATTAAGTTTGGCAGTGACAGTAGGAAAGAAAAAATACTGATGTTTGCTGAAATGGAAAAACAAATTTAGTTGATTTTCAGTAAGATTTCAGAACTCTTGAAGTAAATATTGACAGATGTAAATATTTTCCTTTTAAAGGTCATTTTGGCTTTCAGCCTGCTTTACTTTAAATAAAGTATAAATGCAGAGTAGTTTGCAGTAAAAGAGCTAATGATTAAATAGGTTGAGTTTTTTAACTGACTCATTTTCTAGAAAGTTCTCTAAATTTTCAAAGGCTACAATTTATTTAGGCTAGCAATAATTGATCAATCTTTTAAAGATTTTATTTATTTATTTATTTGTCAGAGAGAGCACACACAAGCAGGCAGAGTGGCAGGCAGAGGCGGAGAGAGAAGCAGGCTCCCTGCCGAGCAAGGATCCCGATGCAGGACTTGATCCCAGGACCCAGGGATCATGACCTGAGCTGAAGGCAGTGGCTCAACCGACTAAGCCACCCAGGCGTCCCAATAATTGATCAATCTTGTACATAATTCTTATCCATTTTCTTGAAACCAAAGTGGCCCTGGGAATATGGAGAGGTTTTACTTGCTAGTCGTTAGGGGATAGATTTCTTTTTCTCCTTCTCCACGGACAAAACAGATGTCCCCGTGGAAAAAATCCAAAGATACTTTTGTTCTTTGTATCTCAAGGGAAACTCTAAGAGAAGCAGGTTTGTTGGTGCTTTCACACATCAGCCCTACTTAAATTAATAACACTGAGAACAATATTTCAAATTCTCAGAGAGGAGTTTGAGACGTTAGGTTGAAAATATTTTACAGGTGTTCAAAGAGGTTAAAGTAACCTATGGTTAAATTTTCTAACGTGGCAAATGTATGCCAGAATTATTGAATAACTAACAGAAGCAAAATAACTAATTATTTTTCTTTTCTCCTCACAAGGAAATACTTGCTTTCTCACACTAAAGATCTCTTTTGTGTGGAGGTTTAATTATCTCTTGCCCTGAGTGCCCCTGCTGGTCATGAAATCTGTGACCAAGTCCACTTTTCTAATCTATCTTAATATTGGCACTTAACCAAACTAACATTTTGTTTGCTTTCCTAAGTAAAATAAGGCTATCCTTAAGTAGAATTTGAGCCTATCCTGTTGACGAAGTGAACTAGTTTTTTTCAGTGTTCATTAATCCATAAAGGGGAGATACAAAAATTGAATGAAACACTGCCTCTGCCCTACAGAGCTAAAGGGCTTTTCCATTTAACACCAGAAACGTCAGAGTGGGTATTGCTGAGTGGGAGTAAGAAGGTGGGATGAAGCCCAATGTCAGGCTCCCTGCTCAGCAGGGAGTCTGTCTCTGCTGATCTCCTGGCTTGTGCCCCCTCTGTCAAATAAGTAAAATCTTAAAAAAAAAAACAGAAAACTCCCTGCTTTTTAAAAAAGATCTATCTTGTGATCTCAGTTAATAAAAGATCAAATTAAAGGTGAGAAAGATTAAATGACTTTGTCCAAATTAATGCTGGGCCAACTCTGAAGCCCAAAGATATGGCTGCAAGTTTTACAGCATCATCAAAACTTAAGTGCATGTATAAAAGACAATCTATTGCTAACAAGACAAAGTATGTCAATTGTTCCCCCCTTACAGAGCTCTGGTAGTGCTCCCAAATTTCTGTGAGGTGCTCCACCCTTTCTCTGTCAGTCATCGTCACTGGGGGCACCATTCACATCCATAGTTCTCATAGATTTGCCTTTAAAATATAGGACAGTATTGTGGCAAATGGCAATAAGACCTCCTTAGGAAGGGCCAGCTTTTCCTCATGTACAACTTGCTGCCATTTGGGCTCAGGGGAAGGCTGTACTATCACCTTACACCCTGACGGTCCCAAGCCCAGAGGGTCGCCTCTGGCTCCTGTTCAGTCCAACCCTTCCACTCCATGCCTGCAGAAGCTGTGGAATGTGTGATAAGGGGAAGAAGAAGAAAAAAGAGGCAGGTTCCTTCTGTAGTTTATAGGACACCTCAAGGATTCAAAAGCACGAATCCAAAAGATGAATGCAGAAAAACGTGCTGGGGTTTCCGAATACATGCAGAGGAATGGAGAAAGCCCAGCTTGAACTAATATTAAAATACTTGCCCTTCACATGTGAAAGTCAACATTCTCAGCTCATTTGGATTTAAAAATAGAATGGAAAAAAGTTGATATAGAAGCAGTTGGCATGCCACACAAGTGAGGCAAGAGAACGTAAAAACCAAAGCCACTAATGCTAATCTGTATTTGAGAGTGGACTCTTGATTGTGAAGCTGCTCTGGGGCTTTGACATTCGTAATTACATGGCTATGAGTTAAGTTACCAGACTCCAGAAGAGTAAGTCTAAAAGCTGACAAAATTGAACTGGTGTGTCTTTTTTGTGTGTGTGCATAATGATTACATCAGTTAGAAGCCTTTGAGCTACCAGATGGAAAATTCAGCTAGAGGTATGTGAGACAATAAGGAAAATTGTATTATTTCACATACCAGCAGGTAAAAAAGTTGGCTAGTTCAGTGACTCGAAGACCCAGGGTTTTTCTTCTTTCTGCTCTGCCATCCTCCACTTGTCTGCTTGTCCCCTAGTGGTTACAAAATGGCTACAGCAGCTCCTGGAATCATGTCCTCATCCAACATCCAACCCAAAATATCAAAAGGCTTTAAGAGACGGCATCCCAGTCTGGTGTCTGTTTATAAAGAGATAGACTTTCTCAGAAGCCCCCATCATACTCTTCTTCATGTCACACTGGCTACAATGATGTCAAGTGCTCATTCCTAAGCCAGTCATGGGTAAAAATCACAAAATTACTATAGCTGGCTTAGACTGATCAAGACTTATGCCTGGGTTACGGCGGGCCTCCCCTTTCCAAAACTCAGCATTTCTTGATAACCTGAACAAAATTAAGGTTTTCTTAGGAAGGAAGAATTGAGCAGGGAAGGCAGCCAACACTTCTCTTTGCCGAGAGGTTGTTCTACGTCTCTGTTTCCTATTATAGGCTCTGCCAACATAAATGACCGAAGCATGCTGGGGAAGCGTGACAGTGAAATGGCTGTCATCGTGCAGGACACAGAGACAGTCCCTTCGGTGATGGATGGAGAAGAGTACCAGGCTGGCCGCTTCGCCCAGGGACTTCGGCTGCAATGCTTCAGGTGGGCCCCCCAGAGCTGTGGCCCTCTTACGTTGTTTCACTGTGGTGGGTGCTGGAACCCCATCCCGCCTCCTGCCCTGAACACAAATGTCATCCCCAGGTCCTTCTTGTCTAAAGCAGCATTTCCCAGAGTAGGAGATGTGAATCACCAGTAGTGTGCAAAAGGACTTTATGTGGGGTATAAATATTTTCTATTTTAATCATTTTTATTATTTTTATGTGTAATCAAGAAAAATAGCATTTTAAATTTATTCATTGATTTAGGACCAGGCCAGGTCAACCCATCTAATTTCTTTTTTTTAAGATTTTATTTATTTTAGAGAGAGAGTGAATGGCGGGGAGGGGCAGAGGGAGAGAGAATCTCAAGCAGACTCCACACAGAGCATGGAGACTGACTGGGGGCTCTATCCCACAACCCCAGAACAAGCCTGAGCCAAAACCAAGTTTTGGGTGCTTAACCAACTGAGCCACTCGGTCACCCCTATTTAAGATTTTGGGTTTTTTTAAGATTTTATTTATTTATTTGAGAGAGAGACCGTGAGAGAGCATGCATGAGAGGGGAGAAGGTCAGAGGGAGAAGCAGACTCCCCATGGAGCTGGGAGCCTAGTGTGGGACTTGATCCTGGGACTCCAGAATCATGACCTGAGCTGAAAGCAGTTGCCTAACAAACTGAGCCACCCAGACACCCACCTGTTTAAGTTTTTTAAAGTCCATTTTTTAAAATTATAGTAGTCCCAATAATACAAGGATGTAATAGAGAGTATTAAAGAAGGGTGCCAGTGACTGCTGATGGTGAAGTTTGGAAACTGCAGCCCCAGACACAAAAGATTCTTGATCTTCTGCAACAAGATGTGAATTCTACACTGTTCTGTGCTCAAGCTGAGAGAACACTGGGCAGAGCAGCAAGGGCTGGGGGACCCTAAATGAGTCTCTCATTCTCTTAATGTTTCTGAGAACCTTCTAGGGCCAGGCTCTAACTGGCCCCACCCCAGACCCTGTAATCTTTTTTTTTTTTTTAAAGATTTTATTTATTTATTTGACAGACAGAGATCACAAGCAGGCAAAGAGGCAGGCAGAGAGAGAGGAGGAAGCAGGCTCCCCGCTGAGCAGAGAGCCCGATGCAGGGCTCGATCCCAGGACCCTGAGATCATGACCTGAGCTGAAGGCAGCGGCTTAACCCACTGAGCCACCCAGGCGCCCCCCAGACCCTGTAATCTAATCTCAGTAGTCAGATGGATCCTTCTAGAACCCCCAATCCTGTCACTTCACTCATGGTCCATGGAATATCCTGAGCACTCCCCTATAGCGAGGCCCTTGCAGTGAGCCCCTCAGTCCATGATTCTAGAGCTGCATCAGCCAGAGATGGGTTTTTCCTTGTGGCCTCCACAGCGAGATGCAGCCAGTGGCCCTGATGAAGCTTTAAGCTATTTGGGGAAAGGAGCTGTTGTTTTAACCCTGTGGTGTGAACGGTGGCACTTGGACATGGGTTCACTGGCAGACAGGCACACCCTGAGTACCAGGCTCCCTGCAAATGCTGGCCGCCATTTTCTTCCTGTCCAGCAGCCCAGGCTCCGGTTCTTGACAAGCAAGATAAGCTTCAGTTCCTTCGGTTCCAGAGAGGGGGTCATTCTGTTCTCTCTGCCCCAGGAGCTCGGCAAATCCATCCCTCAAAATCTGACTGTCAATACTTCCTCACAGTTCTTATGGCTGTGTTTATTGCCATTGTTACTAATTGTTTTGCCAGTAAGATTTTTTTTTTCAAACCACTGATATTTCAATTAGCTTCTGGCGTTAATTTGTTTCATTTAGCGGGGAGGAGATTAAAATTAGTACCCTGTTAATCAGCCCACCCATTGCCTACTGCAGCATCTATGAGGAAGCAAGTATTTCTTTGTATAAACCAGTCTTTTCGGTTTTGTGAGAACTTAAGTATTCTCGTTAAAGTGGTGAGCTTCTTTATAACTCTAAATGTATAATAATTATAAAGGTGTAGGTGGTTCTGATTACAACCGATTTTTGTGGTAGAAAATTTGGCAAATACAGTTAAGCAATAAGAAAATTAAATTCATCTGTAGTCCCACTGCCCAGAGCTAGCAGCTTTAACATTTGCTGTCTATCGTTCCCCCTTTGTTCGGCACATATATATTACTATACTGTATTTCTTTTTTAGGATCTTGCAGTTCTAGAAAGTTCTTCATTATTTAAAAAATGTTGCATACATCATTCCCCTTTGTTCGGCACATATATATTACTATACCGTATTTCTTTTTTAAAACATAATTAGAATCTTGCAATCCTAGGAAGTTCTTTATTATTTAAATAATGTTACATACTTCTGTGTCATCAAGTATTCTTCCATAACATTTAATGGCTGCATTGTATTATATCATGTGAATATGCTGTAATTCCTTTAACTAATACCTCACTGATAGACAGGTTTTTCACTGATACAAAAAAGTGGATATAGGGACTCCTGGCTGGCTCAGCCAGTGGAGCTGACTCTTGATCTCAGGGTTGAGAGTTCAAGCCCCATGTTGGCTGTAGAGATTACTTAAAAATAAAATATTTAAGATAAATAAATAAATAAGTGGATATACTTTCAAACTGTCTTAAAAAGGCATTTGTTCATGAACAATCATTTTTCACTTTGCCCCAATGGAAAACACAACTAATATATTAGAAAAAGCACCACAAAAAAACCTCATGCTATTTTTATTAAGGAATGTTCTTAAAAGATAATATTGGGGCCTAGAACACAGTCATTTTCTCACTAAAAAAAAAGCAGCTTCAATCCATTTTCCATCTGGGTTATTTCTGACTAGAAATAGAGAGACACATTTCAACGTGAAATCAATTCTAAATAGAGTCAACATCAGGGTACTGCACTGAATGTCGCAACTATGTGCCGAACAGTTCATTAAGTCCTGGAAAATTATCCAACTGTATGGATGTAACCATCACTCAACAGAAACCATTATCCACCCAAGTACAGCTCAGAATCGTGTCAAGCAATAGACATGAGGAATGGAAAGAACAAGAACTATTTTCTGCAGTTGTCCTCCTGTTCCACTGATGCATAAAAAATAAACCATTAAATAATTCCCATTATAAGCGCCTACATTAAATCAGACGTGTTCTCCCTCACCTTAGTTCTCAAAAGAATATCCAGAGAATTTCACTGCATTTTAACAGAAAACTGACAGGGAAAATAATTTATTACTAAAAATGAACTCTTACAGACTTATTTAAATACTTATTCTACAAACAAGCTCTTAACCGATAACTTGTTGGACACATTGTGTCACCTCTTGTTTTGGAGTTAAGAGCAAAGTCACAGAACTGTTTTTGCCAAGTTTTCAGCTGTTAGACTTGGCCCCCATCAAAGGTATTATTATGATTGATGTATTGTCATGACTTGCACCGTCCGTCAGATTTGCTGCAGATTTTGCTTTGGGTCTTAAGCAGCCAGCATCTGTGTGCAAGCACCATTATTTAAATCCATTTTTTTTCCCTTAAATCAATTTTAAAAGTTATTCTTTGATAGTCTGAAGGAGACATTATTTGAAGTGGAAATAAAATTTTGAGGTTATAAAACTCTAAAAAATCCTAAGTGAGCCCATGGTGCCAAATCCATTTATTTTAAAGAATTTTTAGATAGTGGGAAAAGTGCAGACTAAAACTAAAATGAAATGTCCTTTTATCCTTGTAAAAATGGCTGAGCTTTTTCAGGAATTAATCATGTTGGGGATGACTGGAGAGAACAGGCACGGTCACGGCGTCTGTGTTGGAACAGCCTTTCTTGAAGTAAAATTTAATTCTAAAAATTTTCCTAGTAAAAGAGTCCTATAAATTCACAAAGTATTATGCATGATGAATAAATTATGTTCATTGTAAAACTGTTCAGAATAATGAAAAACTGGAAACCATCCAAAAGGTCATAATAAAATACTTGGTTAAAGAAATTCACATGATGGGAAATTTTGCAAACATTAAGAACAATGATGTCAGCCCACATTTATTTAAATACAGAGAGGGTAACAGCAGAAGGATTTCCACACGGTTGGATTCAGTGGTCAATTCTCATTTGAATTTGACACAGTTCTCCTTGGCAAACTTAGTGTGGTTCCAAGATACAACACCCTTGCTTTTCTCCAGGCTCATTTGCTGTTCCTTCTTTTCCCTCCCACTAAAGCTCACCAGGTCCTCTTTTCTGTCTAAACTCACTCCTTTGGTAAACCAGGTAAAGTCCATGGCTTTATGAATACATATATAAAACAATTCTCAGATTTATACTCCAGCCAACTGGAGATTTATACTCTCCCCAACTCGAGATTCATTTCTCCAGCTGCCTACTTTGCATTACCCTGTGAATGTTTAATGGAAGTCTCAGCAGGTTCAACACTGAATTACTGGTCTTTTCCCATAAACTGGTGCTACCAGAAGAATTCCCCATGTCAGTCAATGGCACCCACATTCTTCTAGTTGCTCACACCCACACCCCCGTTGTTATCCTTGATGCCTCACTTCTTTTCACATCATATACCTGCTCTGTCAGTACAACCTGTTGGCTCCACACCTTCCTCTCCACTACCCAAGCCCCATCCTCTCTCACTCAGATTACTGCAGGAGCTCCTAAGTGGTCTTGCTGTTATAGCCCTTGCCCCCACATTCTGTTCTCAATATAGCAGCCATATTTTCGAATGTAAAGTCAGATCCTATCACTCCAGAGTCTGTAATATGTCCCAGCTTCTCTCAGTGTAAAAGACGAAGCCCTTCTAAGACCTAGTTCCTCACTTCTGTCTTCAGTGCAACATAAGACTTTTTGATCTTCTTTGAACCTATCAGACATGTGAGAAAGGGCTTTAGGTCCCATTTGAAATCTAGCTTTGTTAGTAGTAGGTCTCCAAATTTTAGCTTCCCATCTACAAAATGGGAATCGTGTACCATGTACCCCACAGGATTGAGGTAGAAATGTTTTTTTACTCCAAGGCCTTCCATGAATACAGGGATTTTTACCATTTTCAGATGCGACCTCTAAAATTTATCTTGCTTTGCTTAAGAATTTGTTTCTAGTCCACTGTTTATATATGATCAAATAGGACAACATCTAGTTATGTGGCTTCTTTTTTGCCAGGCACTTCAGGGATATGAATAGCTAGGTCATGTTCTCTTAAAGAACTAACCAGCTAGCTGTGGGACATAAACCTGTTAAAAAACAAAAAGTGTATGAAGTATTGCAGGTGTTCTGATATAGCAAATATGAGGTTCAGTGGGGGAGCAAAAGAAGAATGTCCAAATCTCTGAGGCCTGACAGAGAAAAATGGGAGCTGGGAGAAGGGGGAGCCATGAATCAAGGGGAAGCCTTGTACTGAATGCTGAAAGATAAGCGGGGTCAGGCCAACTGGAAGGGTGGAGGGGAAAGCTCCCATACTTTTAAAGCACACCCAGTATTTATCACACTACTTCATTCTTTTAAAGGATGATGATTTATTCATTATTGACCTTACCCATTTAAATTACCCAAAGAAGCTCCATGTCTTTTGTATTTGTTTCTGTGCCCTAGAGTTTGGCATAGCTCTTGGCCCAAGAGAAGGAAGGGAGGGAGGGAAAGAGGAAGGGAAAAGAAAGGGATATTTCATTCTGGTTAAGAGCATGTTTGGGAGTCAAATGGTCTGGAGTCACAGATCTATAGCTTACCAGCTGGGTGACCTTGAACAAGTTACTTACCCTCTCTGTGCCTTAGTTCCCTTATTTGTAAAATGGACATAATAATAGTTGCTTATTCATAACTTTGTTGAGACAGTTCTTGGAAAGGACTTGGCACTTTTGCTGGTACATGGGGTTGTGTGTGTGTATGTGTGTGTGTGTATTTAAAAAGATTTATTTATTTGAGAGAGAGAGGAGGAGAGACAAAAAAGAACCCCCAAGGGGACTCTCCACTGAGCGTGGAGCCCAATACGGGGCTTGATCCCTGGACCCCGAGATCTTTACCTGAGCCAAAATCAAGAGTCAGATGCCCAACCAAGTCACTCAGGTGCCCCCTGGGTGCTGACCCTTTGAATGCTAACCCTATCCTCCAAGTCTCATCCCCTTAGGCCAAATTCCAAGGGCTCTCTTGGAACTAAATTCAGGTGTTTCTGTCTATCCAACAGTTAAAATTTTAAAGCATCATAACAGTTTTGATTTGTTTTGTTTTGTTTTGCAAGGAAGGTTTTATACACACACACACACAGAGTTTTAATGGCTTCCTCAGATTTTCTTAAAAAAAAAAAAAAAAAAGGACTTCTGTGGTTGAGTGCCTAAATTACATTACCTTAGAAACAATACCTGCAGCGAATTTCTTTATCTCAGTAACTCATTTTGGAGCATACTTGTATTTCAGGGTTGTCCTTGGCTATCTTTCTGAACCAAGTGAAAACATTCAGGATCCAGTGAGTGACAAATTCTTCAAGGAGGTGTGGGTTGCAACAGCAGCTCGAAATGCTACAATTTATGATAAGGTGAGGTTTGCATATCCCCCCTCCCCTTTTTTAATTGAATCACATCACAAAAGCACATTGTTATTGTTGCATATTATTGGAACAGAGTATTCTTTTTTTTTTTTTTTAATTTATTTGACAGATAGATGAAGAGTAGGCAGAGAGGCAGGCAGAGAGAGAGGAGGAGGCAGGCTCCCCGCTGAGCAGAGAGCCCAATGCGGGACTCAATCCCAGGACCCTGAGATCATGCCCTGAGCCGAAGGCAGAGGCTTTAACCACTGAGCCACCCAGGCGCCCCTGGAACAGAGTATTCTTAATGAGTGTAAAAAAAAACCAGTACATTTCCAAGTTGTAATAAAATACCTCTTTGTAGACCTTAAAAACAGAGTCAAAAAGTATCATGGATTATGGTTTCGAAGAGCCATTAGTGGTATTCTGATCTCTCATCTGACTCTGGGATCCCATCATGAGCATCCTTGGAAGGTGCTTACCCAAGTTTTGGAGGTGTCTAGTGACAGAGAAAAGAGGCAGATGGTATCCAAAAATGAGTCAGACCTGAGTTCGACCCAGCTCACCCAGCTGCTGGTGACAGAACTTTGTATGTAGTGATTTGACTTTCTGAGCTCTCCTTTCTTCTATAAACTGGGAGGAGTATCCACCAGGGCGCTTATGAAAATAAAGAGTAGGCTTTTAAATGTATTTAGCACATAGCATAGTAAATGGTATCCATCCTTATGATGGAACTTACTAATAACGAAACACTTCTCTGTTGGGCAGCTCTAATTTTGGAAAGGGGTTTTAAAACAAGCTCCATGTGGGGGCGCCTGGGTGGCTCAGTGGGTTAAGGCCTCTGCCTTCAGCTCAGGTCATGATCCCAGAGTCCTGGGATCGAGCCCCGCGTTGGGCTGTCTGCTCGGCAGGGAGCCTGCTTCCCTTCCTCTCTCTCTGCCTGCCTCTCTGCCTACTTGTGATCTCTCTCTCCGTCAAATAAAAAACAAACAAGCAAACAAACAAAAAAAAAAAAAACAAGCTCCATGTGTTAGGAAGGCCAAATGTATCTTTTGGTAAGTTCTATCCATCGGTTATGATAAAGAATGTACAAGAGGTAGGAGTTGTGCAACAGGGGAGCAAGTTACTTCTTAAAGTAGCCAGGTTTCTGTCCTAGAAATATTCGAGCTGAGATCTGCTGACCATCTGGCAGAAATTGGTTAAGAGTGTGTTACTGTTCTTCATGACTGCTGGAGTCCCTTCCAGCTGGAAAATTCATCATTCCTAATGAAACATGACAGTCTACATAGCCTTATTTCATACTGAGGACTCAAGGCCACAGTCAAATAGGTCATGTGCATGGAGTCTTTTAAAATGTAATTTTAAAAATGCATAGCACAGCCTTGTTTGGATCCTCATGGCGGTGGTGGGGGGGATGCAGTATAGGACAGCGACTATAAAAAAAACATTTTGGGAACAACAGGATGAATCTAAATATGGACCATATCTTAAATGACTTGGAATTGATTTTCTGAGGTGTGAAAATGCTATCGTGATTATATAGGCACATTCATATTCTTAATACATGCTGAAGTATTTAGGAGGGAACTATTGTGATATAAGAAGCTCATTTTCAATTAGCACAATAAGTGTACAATTGATACCTTTAAAGGTACAGATATGAGCATTTTGAAAAAATGAAAAGTTAGAGACAATATAATCTGCAATATTCCTCTTTGACCAGAACCTCCAGTGAAATTCTGAGAATTATTATCCAAAATCCTAACCTGAATGCGGAATAACATCACTGGAATTCCCCTACCACTAGCTTGACTTTATCCTGAAGTCAGTGACTCGTGTAGATCAGATAGAAGGCTCTATCTAAGATTTTTTCTTTTTGATGGAAGCAAATCTAGTCATCTCTTGGTAGCAAATAAGAAAAGCAACTCTTCAGTCAGGTCTGTGCTGTGGCCTAAAACTACTACGTGTTTCGTAAAGCAAAGATTTTGTCTGTCAGAATGTGTATTTTCCATAAAGGGGATATCTTTTAAACTCACGACCTCGTTTCTTCCTATTTGTGTTTTAATCAGGTGTTCCGGTGCCTTCCCAATGATGAAGTACACAATTTAATTCAATTGAGAGACTTTATAACCAAGCCCGTCTTAGCAAGGGAAGATCCCATTAGAGCTGAGGAAGAACTGAAAAAGATCCGTGGGTTCTTAGTGCAATTCCCCTTTTATTTCCTGTCTGAAGAAAGCCTCCTGCCTTCTGTTGGAACCAAAGAAGCCATAGTGCCCACAGAGGTTTGGACTTAAGGGAGATATTCATTTGCAGCTCAAGGACTTCCACCTTGAAAAATACACTGCACACTGTGCCTTTAGGGAGATCCTCACAGCCGCAGCCAGCCTGGTATACCCTGGGATCTGCCCCAGGGACCCTCTGGATTGGCTGGACAGGGCTGCGGTCCTACTGATCAAAGGACGCTGAACATCAGGTGGGCTTTCTAACTCCTCCTGCTTATCCTTGTGAAAAAGGGACTGTATTCTTATTGATAGCATATGCTCAACAACAAATTCCATGGTGTACACCACAGTGCTCTTCCTTTTCTAACAAGAATTTACCTGTGCCTGTGATCTAGGTTGCCAGAAATTGTTGAAACCTCCTTGTTCTTCTCTGCCCCCCATTATGCAGCGATGACTGCTGGACCTGCCCTCACTTCCTAGTACATACACACACAGTTTGAGACATTGTTTATTCCTAGAAGATGTTGTGATGCTGCTTCCAGGTTCTTCAAGGGGACAGGGGAATGCCCCTGCCCATCTGGTAGGAGTGTTCAGCCAGGCAAGGATGGGGTCCTTATCCCTTTTCAGTGACTGAAAGGACATGGCAGACGTTATGTACACAGCAGCCCACATTAGGTTCTTCTGATAATATTGACACTATAGATCTTAACACCACAGAACAATAGGAAGGAATTAAATTTGGTTATTGAGGCAGAGATTTTACTTTGCCTTCAAAGGCAATGACTAGATACGGTCTTTTGATAGGGCCCACCTGATCAAATCTGAAAACAGGTGTAGGATATTTCATTCCACAGCAGCTGATAAAACTCAGAGGCAGAGCACACAGCCTTCAGAAGCCTCCAAGGTAGCCATGGGGATCTGATCCAGACAAGAAAAGAAGATTCCTTATAGTCCTGGAAAATTTCCTATCATCTTTAGCTGCTGGATTGATTGAAATTAGAGTTTCTCCATTTGAAAATTGCAATTTGTCTTTTAAGAGAACCAGATGCTTCATAACTCATACCAAATTAGTAAGCAGAAGCCTAACCTTGACATTTTGCTCTCCCAGCTTTGTTACCTTCTTAAAGAAAAATTGATTGCAAAATACTTGCTACTTAACCTGTGTTATTGTATTATTAAATACGCATTAACATTCCACAAGGCTTCCAAAGAGGTTAGGATCTGCATTAATTCACATTGTCCTAGTCTACGAATTTTTCTAGAAACCCATTTTTCCTCTTTGAATAGTAATATACCCTTTGGCACACCCTAGCTCTTATGTTACTAAGCAGAATTATTCTTACAGCCTGAAGATCTGATGTGGGTTCCCAAAAGGCCTGTGCCCATAAAACATGATGTAGGTGCATTGATCACACATGAATGGATTACCAGGACAGATCTCACTGGAGTCATTCTTCAAAAGTGAGGATCCAATCCCTGTTTTCACGGAGCTAGGAAAATGTTAAACAGGAGTACAAAGTCAGTAATCTGGGTGAGTAGGAGAGAGTGTCACACTCAGGAGAGGATTTCACAACTAGAGAACATTTCACAAATGAGGTGGGGCTGTGCTTTATGAATAATTTCTCAGATGGCTGGAGGTGGTATAAAATGACTTCATTCTACAACAGCTGTAAATAAGGCATTTGCTATTTATGAAGTTTAGATTGACATTTAAAATGAGTGGATGTGGACTACCTAAGGATTCCTTATAGTTTACTTTTACATATTTTTTAAACTGTATGACAGTCAAGACTGGTTTTTGATTTTGTGCAAAATGCTCTCAACACTATGAAAAATAAAAGCCTAAAAGTTCCCCTTCTCTTAAAAAAATCATTTAATCCAGCCTCTCCCCATTTTATAGATGAGGAAACTGAGGCCCAGATTGGTTGAAGGGCTCCCTTGAGTTCATCCAACTGTGAGATAGTAGAGGGAGGACTGGTGAAATTGTGCTGGCCCATTCGTGGCCTCCCCCTTGACGTCGTCAGTATCCACAAGTGAGGAGAGGCAGCAAACAGATTTCAGGCAGGATGTCTCTCAGCTGCTTCAAACACCGTGGTGTCATGTACTTAAGTGTTCTGTCTCCCCCTGTTTGAATGTAAGCTCCACGGGGCAGGGACTTTGCCACGTTTTGTTCAGAGTGTGTCCTCAGAACCTGGAACGGTAGATACCTGGCACAGCGGAGGTGCTCAGTAACTGTTCGGTGGGTGAATAAACGAGGTGGAGGACAGAGTTAATGAAATGACAAACTTACATCGTCTCAAGAAAGAAATCTTACTGTTGGTTTCTGGGGCCAGTTTCCTTTCTACTGCATCTTCTCAAAGGCAAGACGTTCTTCTGTAAAGATGAGAGGCTACCACTTTACTTGGGTGGATTTTCTGGAAGATTCCGTGTAATGATTGCCTATTTGCAATAGCAGCTTACATAGGGCAGCATTCTGCAAAGGTTACATGGGGTGTGGGCACAAGGTGTACTGCGTGGCCTAGTCAGTCACCATTTTAACACCACTACTACCTAATAATAGAAGTTCAAATAACTTATCTTTAACATTGCAATATCTGATATCAACTTCAAAATGCAAATGATTCAAAGCCCCCTGAAAAGCTATTATGAATCTGCTCCACATTTTAAATTGACTGTGATCTTCTAAAATGCCCTTAAATGCTGTACCCCATACTCTGATAATCTCTAATACTTTGTTTTCAAGAAGGAAAAATTCTATGATTATACAAAATGACTGGCAGAAAGTAGACTAGCTACTCAAACTACTCAGATTGTCCAAGCCTACTCCTTGGAGGGTACTGGTCTGGTGCAGGCATTTGCTCGGTATCAAGTGTGCACTCGGTGACTCGCCCTTCCTTGGGACGGTCTTCATTCTCAACTCTAAGGCATCACCCAGAGGCTTGGAGAGGCAGGCAGTCATTAGATAGTTGAGTGGCATATGGTAAAGCAAAATATTGGTTTTCTTTTAGTGCACCCTTTGGAAGAAAATTTCATCTGTAGGTAGTCAAAAACATGAGCAGTTCACGTCTTGTGTACTAACGTGGGAAACTATAATACATCATGAATGAATAGTCTCCCAGATGAAAACAGCAGGCAGAGAAGCCTTTCTGCAGACTCCAGCCTATAGACGGACCAGATCTGTACGCTCATCAAGAACCACCTGTTCCTCTTCCTGCATCTCCTCACCCCTTATTCCTTCAGCCTCTGTCCCCAAGCAGAGCATCTCTTTATTACGTTAACCATTTCAGAGAACAAGAAAAGAGTTTCGGGAAAAAAAAAAAAAAAAAAAAAAAATGGAGTCTTTAAACAAATCTTCCGTTTAACTTACCCTTTTAAGTGACTGACAAAATATTACTATTTTTTAACAGAGGTAATCGTCTTATTAACCTCCCTGATCTGATAAGGCACTTGAGCATTTTCTGATGTCTGTCACCCTCTGTAGCAGGGACAAAGAGGATCCTTCATGTCTCCTCATCCCTCTCTACAGTGTCTTGTATAAAATGAGCAAATGCTAAAGGACTTTAAGTGTGCTTAGGAATACATTTGTATTACCCTGGAAGATCCTCTGAGGCAAATTACTACTAACAGTTTGGAGGTTTAAAATGGATGGGCCTTGAGAATCTTGAATCTAGAAATGCACTAGAAAAGGAATTCATCATCAGCATCTCTCAGAAAGTTGCAGGTGAAAGTCAGTGAATTCGCATTATTCGGGGGGAGGGCAGGTACCATAAAATGATTCCTAATGACATTTAATTCACATGTGAGATAGTATTGACTGATTTGAGATTAGAAGCATTCACTAAAGGAACTGAATGTTTTATGACTTAATTTCTTACAGGTTGTTTTATTTTTCCCTTATACTATTGTTACTTTTAAGCTTAGAAACAGTAATCAAACATAAGATAAATGAAAATTTGTCATGCTGACGATTTGGAAGTTGTAAAGTCAGAGACTAGGATGGCAATCCAACCAAAATGCAGGCTTAACTACTCTCTCCTATCCCCAAGCAGCTATAACCGTCCACTTTATTCTTGATAAATGTATGTAAGTGAATGTCACCCTAATTCTGCCAGACACCAGGAAATAGAACATCATGCCCCCCTAATGTCGATCTACTTGAATTCTTCACACAAAATAGTTTGGGCCAAAGGCACTGCTATTCTCCTAAACCACTCTAAAACTTCATACTTAAGTACTGCCATTGGAGCACATGTCATGACACAAAAAAGAAATACTTGGCAAGGAATATGTATTCAGAGTATTTCGATATTCTGGAGAGAACTCAGGCTCCGAGCCTCACCTCTACTGCAGCACTTGACACACCAAGGCTGGACCTCCTGTTTTTATAAATCAAGTTTTATTTGAACACAGCCATGTCCATTCATTTACATGCATTCATGACCAAATGATCTGCAAATGCTAAAATATTCACCATATTTAAGAAAAGCCTACTGCTCCTTCCTCTAGAGAGAGCAGAGAATGTCCAGACAGAGTACCTCAACCAAACAGAGTTGGAGGAGTTCTAATCTCTTCGCTAACAAGGTTTTCAAGTCTTGCTATCCCAGAGCCCAGCATTCTACAATGGATTTATTTTTAAGAACAAGGTCCTTTCAGGAGCAAAATCACATGGTTTTGGTTCTGAAAAGAGATCTGATCAGCTAAAGCAGGCTTCTCCCAGCTGAGCACTCATAGGCATACATGGCTGACAACGTGTGTAACTAAAGTGTTAAAAAAAAAATGAGGATGGATTGGTTGAAGCGTCTGTATTTAGAATGAGAACTCTGAACTCAGAAGACTCAGTTTCCTGTGAACTTTTCCATCTGTGAAGCATTGGAAATGATCCATGTATCCATTCTCTGCCTCACAATCAATGCTCTCTGTGCCTGGTTCCTTAACGGCTTTTTTAAATGTAAATATTCATTAAATAATTAAAAGTGTGAAATGAGCAGTGTCCCTTTATCCGAAAAACAGTTCCCTGTTCCACACCAGGATCTTGAGAGCCAGAGTGCTGCATGTCTGGGCTTGAGACACAACTGTGTGTCTGTGGAGCCCCACCCCACACCCCGGTCGTGGGCCCCCACACAGTTCAGCCTCAGAGTCTCAGCATCCTGTGCTCCTCCCAGACCTCTGTTCCCCGTGGGGTATGATGATAGAGGGAGGTGGCGAATTTCTTATAAAAGACTGAGACCACTTCCAGTGAGCACATACTGAGCAAGGCCAGTGGGGATGCTGGGACGCATCAGTGAACAAAGACCAGGTGACCCTTCATGGGGCCCACATTCTAGTGAATTGAGAGTGCAAAGTTCCCTTCTTAAAATAAGAAAGTGCCTGAAATAAGAGATATTTGGGTGCAAATATGGGAATTACCAAGCTGGAGAAAACAACAAATGACTAGAGTAAAATAGAATAAATACCAGTCTTTGAGGACACCAGAGTAGGAACCGGGAAAACAACCATATTACTACTACCAATAACAGTAAGAGCTATCACGAGTGACTTTGTTGGCCAGGACCTCTTCTAAGCATGTTACACGTTTCAGCTCATTCAATAGCTCTGGAGCTTCACACTCAGGAATGATCATAGCCTTGAGACTGTCCTTTACCTCCTCTTCAAGACTCCAGGGGCTCACAACCCCCAGGTGTATGAGGTACAGGTGTGGGACCGAACAGCAAATACCAGTGGAAAAAGCATGGGCTTCAGCATTCAAGAGAGCTCACCCCAGATTTCCACCCTGCTACTTCCCAGCAAATAATCCAGAGGTCTTCAAATGTGGCAATAAAGCCTCACTCATGAAGGCCAATGAGATACATGGGTAAAAACACAATGCCTTGCACACAGTAGGTATTTCTATCAAGCTACAGCAGATGCCTTTCATCTACTCTCTGAAAGTGAGACAGGCCATCTAGAATAGAGAGAACAACACACCTCACACCCAACCCCATGGTCTAGACTTTTTCACACTTCCAGAAGGCCATAAAATGACAGGGATTTCCAGATGGTAACTAGACCATCTTGAGGATCTTTTTATAATGTGTAAAAATGTGGAATCACTATGATGTATATCTGAAAGTAATAGGATATATGTCAACTATACTTCAGTTAAAAAAACAACTAAAAATAAAAATAATAGTAATTTCCAAGTGGAGGTTCTAAGCTGGAGGGAGGGCAGAGAGGAGTGTCTAAGGGGAAGAAGTAAAAGGTGGTTTTCTCCAAATTCCTATTATGCTTACATTGTTGGTTTCCTACACTACAGAAATATACCAAAAGTCATAGGCTGATGCCCCATAGGCCAAAGAGAGAGTGTGGATTTCTTAAATTCGTTTCCACTTTTATTTGGGGAATGATGGTCTCAATTTTTCTAAATCTTGTTATCATCTGAGGCAGAGGTTGTAAGACTCACAGGCATATTTATTTGGACCATATAACATTGTTTAACATTGTGAATTCATTGCTAAACATAAAAATTGAGAGATTTTACATGACATTTAAGGTTTCTGACTTTTATGCAAAATCAGAATGTCTAGGAACAATGGGACACATGGCATCAGTTTCTGTTGGAGCTGAACAGCTATCCCTTTAAGAGGAGGCATGTACTGTCTAGGTCCCCACGGTCCCCATCATGCCCTACTGTTAAACCAGGGCGGGCCTTATGACTTGCTCTGACCAATAGAACATGGCAGCAATGAAACTGCACAACTTTCAAACCTCCACTCTAATCCTCCTTAAATGATGTCACCAAGTGATGAGAGACCAAACTAAAAGAGAGGACCAGAGGACAGCCAGCACCAACTACCTGACATGGGTGTAAGGCCATGCTAGATCACCCTGA